CATCCAGCGAGCAAAAAGGCCGACACTAATACATGTTGAGGCAGTAGAAGAGGAAGTGGATAGACTTTCAGAGGCCAGAGCCATTCGAGACATAAATTACCCAACATGGTTATCAAACACAGTGGTTGTGAAAAAAAAGAATTGTAAGTGGAGGGTCTGCGTAGACTTCACCAGCCTGAACAAAGCTTGTCCCAAAGACAGTTTCCCATTACCCAAGATTGACCAATTGGTGGATGCCACTTCAGGGCATGGAAGAATGAGTTTCCTAGACGCTTACAGGGGGTGCCATCAGATAGCCATGTACCCCCCAAATGAGGAAAAGACTGCATTTATCACCCCAAAAGGGCTGTATTGCTACAGAGTGATGTCTTTTGGACTGAAAAATGCAGGAGCAACTTACTAGAGATTGGTGACTAAGATGTTCAGACATCTAATTGGCAAAACTGTGGAGGTATACATTGATGACATGGTCGTGAAGACCAAGGAACCTAAAGATCATCTGGCCGACCTGAAGACAGTCTTTGACATCCTAAGGACATTTCAGCTCCGACTCAATGCATCGAAGTGTGCATTTGGAGTTGGTTCAGCGAAGTTTCTAGGATACTTGGTCACCAGAAAGGGCATTGAGGCAAGCCCAGATCAAATCAAGGCCATTCTGGAGTTAGAGAGCCCAACGTCGGCAAAGCAAGTAAAGATGTTGACCAGAAAGGCTGCAGCCCTAAATAGATTCATAAGCAGAAGTTCTAATAAATGCAAACCTTTCTTCAGTCTAGCAAAGAAAGCCACAGATTTCTTATGGACAGATGAGTGCGAAAACGCCTTGGCCGACTTGAAAAAGTACTTGACTGCAGCTCCAGTTCTCTCAAATCCAGTACGTGGAGAGGAGCTGTTCTTATACTTGGCGGTCTCAGAACATGCAATAAGTGCAGTAATAATCAGGGAAGATAAAGGAGAAAGAGGGCAGTCTACTACGTGAGTAAAATCCCAGCAGATGCAGAGACCGGATATCTACCCTTGGAAAAGCTAACACTAGCTTTGGTAATGGCCTCTAAGAAGTTGAATCATTACTTTCAAGCCCACAAGATTATGGCGCTAACTGAGCATCCTCTAAAGTCCCTGCTGCAGCAAGGAGATCTGATAGGTAGGATAGCCAGATGGGCAGTGGTGTTGAGCCAATACAACCTGGAATTTAGACCCAGAACAACAATCAAAGGCTAAGTCTTGGCTGAGTTCACACCAGGCGCCATCACATATCGGGCTCCGTTAATCCGAGGTACGCAATGCCCAAGTGAACAAGAAGAAACCCATTTGGAGATAGCCAAACAGAGAAAAGAAGAGAAACTCAGGCCCTGCAGTTTTTACATCGGTGACTCCTTCCATCTGTTTGTTAATGGAAGTTCAAACCGACAAGGAGCGGGGGCAGGAGTAGTGCTGAAATCACCGGATGGACAGATGCTAGAACAATCCATTCATTTGGAGTTTAAGGCCTCGAACAACGAAGCAGAATATGAAGCATTGATAGCAAGATTAAAGTTGGCAGCAACAATAGAAGTCAACGAGGTAATGGTCTTCTGTGACTTCCAACTTATCGTCAACCAAGCAACAGGTGAATACGCTACCTGAGATGAAAGGATGGTGGCCTATGTTAAGGAGGTCGGCAGGTTGATGGCATTGTTCCAAAATTGCCAACTACAGTAAGTCAGCTGAGATGACAACAGTCACGCCGATGCCTTGGCCAACCTGGCTAATGCAATGAAACCAAGAGAGACAAGAACAATAATCGTTGACTACTTGCCAAGACCAAGTGTAGAACCACTGAACACAGAGCATGAAATAATGTGTGTGGAGATGGGACCAAGCTGGATGGATGCAATAATAGTATTCCTTAAAGAGGAAAAACTACCAGATGATCATAAAGAAGCACACAAGATCAGATTGAAGTCGGCAAGATTCAGTCTAACAGCAGAGGGGCATCTCTACAAAAGATCGTTTACTGACCCCTTTTTGAGGTGTGTGCATCCTTCACAAGTTGAAGACTTCTTGTATGAGAAACATGAAGGAGTATGTGGAAGCCACACTAGGGGCAGGTCACTTGTTCATAGGGCCATTACTTAGGGGTACTAGTGGCCCTATATGCAGAAAGATGCTGAAGCCTATGTCAAAAAGTGTAAGAAGTGTCAGAAGTTTGCACCTTTGATACACCAACCAGCAGCAGACTTAAATCCAGTGTCCAGCCCTTGGCTATTTGCCCAATGGGGCATGGATCTTGTTGGACAACTGCCTCAAGCAACTGGACAAAGGAAGTTTCTGCTAGTGGTAACAGATTACTTCACCAAGTGGGTTGAAACTGAACCCCTTGCAAAGATTCGGGACATTGATGTGAAAAACTTCATGTGGAAGAACATCATCACCAGGTTTGGGATCCCAATAGCAATAATAGCAGACAATGGTATGCAGTTTGACAGTAAGCTAATCAAGAATTTATGTGCAAAATACAAGATCAAGAACTATTACTCTACTCCAAGCTTCCCTCAGAGTAATGGCCAGGCAGAAACATCCAACAAAACTATATTGGATGGGATTAAGAAGAGGCCAGAAGCAGCAAAGGGAAAATGAGTGGATGAGTTGCCTAGTGTACTCTGGGCATATCGGACTACGCCGAGAAGATTCACTGGGGAATCTCTATTTGCCATAGCTTATGGCACAGAGGCAGTAATCCCACCAGAGGTCGACATCGCAAGAATCAGAATCCAGGGAGTAGAAAATGGAACCAATGATGCTTTTTTAGCCCGAGATCTGGACTTATTGGAAGAAAGAAGACAGAAAACAGCAATTCAGCTGAGAGCATACCAGCAACAATTTGCCAAGGCTTACAACAAAAAGATCAACCCACGAGAATTTCAAGTTGGGGACCTTGGGGACCTTGTCTTGAGAAAAGTTGTCGGCAACAAGAAGGATCCCAAAGAGGGCAAACTTGGCCCAAATTGGGAAGGACCTTATAGAATCATCTCGGTCCTAGGCAATAGAGCATATCGGCTTGAAGACAGTGAAGGCAAAGAATTGCTAAGACCTTGAAATACTTGCAACCTAAAGTTTTTCTATCATTAAGATTTTATTTTGTTTTCAAGTTTTTCTGTTGTTAGCCGAAATAATTAATAAAATCTTAGCTCGATTTTTTATCTCAAACTTGTGTAAAACAATTGATCAGTCACTTACCGATGTTTCTGATCAAAACATGACGAATGACTTAGACTTATTATATGGCAGAGATAGCAACTGGACAAATGAAGTTCCTTCTAGTGGCAACAGATTACTTCACCAAGTGGGTTGAAACTGAACCCCTTGCAAAGATTCGGGACATTGATGTGAAAAACTTCATGTGGAAGAACATCATCACCAGGTTTGGGATCCCAATAGCAACAATAGTAGACAATGGTATGCAGTTTGACAGTAAGCTAATCAAGAATTTCTGTGCAAAATACAAGATCAAGAACTATTACTCTACTCCAAGCTTCCCTCAGAGTAATGGCCAAGCAGAAGCATCCAACAAAACTATATTTGATGGGATTAAGAAGAGGCCAGAAGTAGCAAAGGGAAAATGAGTGGATGAGTTGCCTAGTGTACTCTGGGCATATCGGACTACGCCGAGAAGATTCACTGGGGAATCTCTATTTGCCATAGCTTATGGCACAGAGGCAGTAATCCCACCAGAGGTCGACATCGCAAGAATCAGAACCCAGGGAGTAGAAAATGGAACCAATGATGCTCTTTTAGCCCGAGATCTGGACTTATTGGAAGAAAGAAGACAGAAAACAGCAATTCAGCTGGGAGCATACCAGCAACAATTTGCCAAGGCTTACAACAAAAAGATCAACCCACGAGAATTTCAAGTTGGGGACCTTGTCTTGAGAAAAGTTGTCGGCAACAAGAAGGATCCCAGAGAGGGCAAACTTGGCCCAAATTGGGAAGGACCTTATAGAATCATCTCGGTCCTAGGCAATAGAGCATATCAGCTTGAAGACAGTGAAGGCAAAGAATTGCTAAGACCTTGAAATACTTGCAACCTAAAATTTTTCTATCATTAAGATTTTCTTTTGTTTTCAAGTTTTTCTGTTGTTAGCCGAAATAATTAATAAAATCTTAGCTCGATTTTTTATCTCAAACTTGTGTAAAACAATTGATCAGTCACTTACCGATGTTTCTGATCAAAACATGACGAATGACTTAGACTTATTATATAGCAGAGTTGAATTATACTTGCATATAATAGAGTTAAACTAAGTCGGCGATGTTTCTGATTAAAACATGACGAATGACTTAGACTTATTATATGGCAGAGATAAATTATACTTGCATATAATAGAGTTGAACTAAGTTGGCGATGTTTCTGATTGAAATATCACGAATGACTTAGACTGGCAGAGATGAATGATATTTGCATATTATAGAGTTGAACTAAGTCGGCGATGTTTCTAATTGAAATATATAGCAGAGTTGAATTATACTTGCATATAATAGAGTTGAACTAAGTTGAATTAACCTAGATTTGCTGTGTTAACAGAATGAAAACTTTGACCAAGGTTGATCACCTCAGCCAGTCTCTATCATAGGTACATACGTAATGTGAACATAAGTGAAACTTAAGTTCACATTAGGGGGCAGAGAGTTGGAGAATAATACTTGGAATTTGGAATTTACATGCTAGTTTAACACTTGTTGAAATTTTGAAAATTTACAAGTTGAGGTTAAGCCGAGGTCATGTTGAAAGGAAATTGTGTTAACACTTGTTGAAATTGTAAAAAATTTACAAGTTGAAATTAAACCAAGGTTATGTTAAAAGAAAGTTGGTTTAAACACTTGTTGAAATTTCAAGTAAAATTTACAAGTTGAGGCTTAAGCCAATGTTATACCTACGTACTTGCCAAGATTGCCATATTTACCAAGATTTGGAAAATAATGGACGACGAAAGTCTTGATAAATTGAAAGTGAAGTGGCATGTTAAACACTTGTGAAAACTTTCTTACAATGTTTTCCAAGTGACAAGATAAGGCCTGAGATAAATAATGAGTAAGAATATCCGAGGTATTTTTCCCCCGTAGAGATTACACAGTTAAGGTATGCCTTGAAGACATGCAAAATATTCTAAGTATAGAGTCATACAAGGCAGTAAAGGAAGGATAAGCATTCAAACACTTAGTCAAAAAAGGAAGACTTGCATTTAAAAGGAAATAAAGAACTTTGGCTTACAGAAGGTTACTTGTTCAGAATACAGAAAAGGGCACATCGATGAATTTAAAAAAAAAAATTGTTCAAGAAAGTACAAGAAAAAGGAAAAAATTCTAAGTACTTGACTTGGCTTGATCAGAGGGGAGCGTTGCAGTTCTCTCTGCTTCAAGCTCAGCGTCAATCTCTTGTAAGGTTTCATCAAGGCTCTTTTCGGCACAACAAACTTTGGCTTCAGAAGTTGTTGGAGTAGGGGAGACGCCCTTGGATGCCAAGTCATCCTCCTCATCCTGAGTTAAGTCAATTTGCTCATTGAGGATACGAGACTTGTTATCAGTGGCAGCCTCCACATCCTCTTCATCGGCCTCGGCTTTTTCATCATCATCTTCATCATCAACATCGGCCTCTTTATTCTCTGGGGGGAAGGGCACTTGGAGCTTGCTGATGTCGCGAAGGTCAAAATCCATAGCAACATCCATCTTGTTAAGGGCCGCCATCCAGCCGAAGTAGTAACCTCGGTTGGAACCCAGGTTGACTTGCTCCCTGTATTGCTCACGAACGGCTGCTTGCCCCTCTTCGAAGGCCTTTTCATCAGCCGCCTTAACCTCGGCCTCTTTGTTTGCAATGGCCTCCTGCAGCTTGGCCTCCAGATCGGCCACTTTGGCCTTAATAGCTGCGAGCTCGGCCTTTGCTGCCTCGGCTTCGTTGTCTGTAGCCTTGGCCTTTTCCTCAGCCAGACTTTGAGCAATCTTGGCGTCTTTGGCCTTGTCCATGAGGGCACGGTTGCTGGCCTCGGCTTTATTTAGGAAGGTGAGGAGCTTGGTTGTTTCTATTGTTTTCTTCGCCAAGTCCTTCCTCATCATCTCGGTCTTTGTTGCGTAGGAGTGAGGGTGCTGAATGACCTGCAAGGAAGAAACATAAAGTTAGCAAAATTTTACTAAGTGTTGAAAGAATGACAAAAATGGAAGGCAAAATACTTACCAGAACTGAATGCTGCATCATGAAAGGTAGGTCTTCATATTCATGAAGCTCGGCCATTCTGTTCATGTCCTCGAGCAGAAGAACTGCCGTGCACAGGGCGACACCGACCTCAAGATTAACAGCACTATCACCGGCGGTAAAAGGTCTGTCGTCGAGCATAATCTCGGGCGCCCAAACCATACCTCGGGGATAGCTACTGCCCTCTTGAGGATTTGACCTCTGCTTCTTAGCATGAGGGACCTCGAATTATGGGTCCTCGACCGAGCTCTTTTCAACAGATGAGGCGGTCTTCTCAACCTCGGCTAATTTGAAAATAGGAACAGTGTCCTCAGAATCAATCTAAGTCACTGTAGCCTTCGCCTTGGCCTTCTTCATGCGTTTTGGCTTAGGGGTTGGCTGAGGAAAGGAAGAAGATTGGACATTGACAATGCCGGGAAGGTTGGCGAGCAAGTCTTCGACGACTACAAGTTTTCGGCTCATCTCGTCAACAGTGGCGGCGATTGTGACCCTTGTACCAAAATGAATTGCTGGTAAAGCTGTTGGTGGATTTGTTGGATCGAAAGATGACGCCTCAGCACATCGGCGTCTTCGACTTCGAGTCCTGCCTGTTGGTGCTTGCAGTGGAGGTCGACGTCGGCGCTGGCGTTGAGACGGTGGAATCAGTTATGGAGCTGAGGTAGATGGTTGTTCTACTGGATCAAAGATGGATCACTGATCTGGCCAAAGTGAAGAGGTTGTTACAGGAGTTGTAGCACAGGGAGGTGACTTGCTCTTTTTGGGAACTTCGGACAAAGTCGATCTGTAGGTCGAGATGAAATTCAGAAGTAAAAGACCCTTGCGCTGATTAACAGGCAGGTCCAGCAGCTTCTTGAAATCCTTACTGGGGTAGAAGTTTTTGCGAAAGTCCTTTGGGGGCTAAGGAAGAACTGCAAAGTAAAAGCAAACAGAGGTTAGAGCATACAGAGATATCAAAGTAAGAAAAAACTAGAAAGCAAATAAAGGTGGCACTTGGCTTTTACCATCTCCCTCTCTGAAAACTGTTCAGCTTAAGGGATAGAGGTGAAGGTCATCATTTGGTTGAAACTCCCAGTTGCCCGAGACAATGAAGTAATCGTCCCCAGCACTCTTGTTGGAGTCAGGGAGGTCGGCAACAAGTTTGTATTCCATAAACCTCAGCTTAAGGTAATAGACATAACCTTTTTCCGACTTCAGGTCGCACATGGTGTAACAATATTGGATGTCGGCAAGGGTAACCTTAGCATTCTTTTTTTAGCTAAGGCAATTATACCATTGATAACTCGGTAAGAGTTAATGGCTAGCTGCATTGGGTTCAGTTTATAATAGTGAAGGACCTCGCGAAAAAAGATGTCAAGGGGAAGCCTAAGACCACACTTAGCGAAGGCTACTACTGGGAAGGGCATAAAGTCGTCCTTGGGCATAATGGAGTCTTCCTCCCCAGCCAACCTGAGATGAACGTCAACCGGGATGGAAAACTCCTGCCTGAAATATTCTAACTTGGTTGGGGTGTCCACCTTATACCTCCACATACCCATGATGTCTGCTTGAGGGGAAAGTGTTGAATTTCAGAAGGAAGTGTTTTGTGAAGGTTTGAGGAACCATGACTAAAAACTGCATGTGTGCTGGGGCAAAATTTTTCTGAAAGATCTAAAGGGTTTTAGGTTCAATTTTCCTAAAGATTAAGGTTTTACAACAAATCCCAAATCCTAAGTCTATAGAAACAAAAATTGAAGGCAAGAATCTGGAAAAAAAACAGCAAGAAAATAGAAACAAAAACATGATTCTGACTCGAAAAGACAGGCAAGAAATCAAAGAACACTGAATAAATTTGTGTAGGTGTGCAAGGCCAAGAACAATGGTAGAGTGGTCAAGAATCAAGAACTAATTGGACAAAGCACAAAAAATTGCAAGACAAGACTTGCTCAAAACACGCTCATAATGAAGATTGAGGCACAGATAACGATTAAAGAACACAAAGACATTTACCATGGCAATAGACAATGAAGTTCTAAACTAAAAATGGGGGAAAAACAGTGACTTACCACAGAAAAGAACGCCGATATGAGATACGTCGGAGTCTGACGGTGGAAATGGGTAGAGCAGAGCGGAGAGAGCTTCGCCAGAAGAGAAACGGAGTGATTGCAGAGAGCTTCAAAGGAACGGAAATGGCAGTTTGAGAGATTTTCAGAAAGAGAGGCTCAAGAGTGGAGAGAGAAGTTATGTTTACACAAGTGAAACAACGAAGAGAGAGAGGAGTATTTTTGTCAAAACACAAAAAGGCGACAAAATGTAATTAATATGCCTAAGACGATGTGCTTGTCAGACGGCGCACACAAATGTGACACGACTTAACAGCACGTGTCAGGTACGGTTCAACGGGGAAAAGACACGTGGCAAAAACGGTTGAAATACTGTGCGTGACAGCTCATACACATGATAAAACTCTTAGAGTTCTTGATTTAATGAAGCAAAGACCTCGGCTGAAGGACGTTCTCGACTAAATAAACTTGAACAAACTTAGTTATTAGTTCAAAAGCATTGATGCAAACACACTGAAGCGTTTATCATATGGAAGCCGATGTGTGACAACCTCGGTAAATAAAAGATAGAGCAAGCTTAGCCGACGTGCTGTGGGTTCGAATAATATAGGTTCCATCATCTCAGGATGCCGAGGTAATAGAACCTAGGGGGAGTTGTGGGGACATATTTTCTAGATAGCAACACGTGGCTAAGGTGGCACCGAAGTGCCAGCCGAGGTGTCACGTTTTCTTGATTTGACGCCGAGATGATCTCGGCTAGGCCGAGGTTATCTGCGAAGGTACGGGAATCCGAGATAAGCGGATAAGTTACAACAGTCCTAAAATAAGGGAGGACTTCAGCCTGAATAAGGATAAAACTCTTAGGAAATTTATCTTTATCTATTTGAGAGTCCTAGATAGGCATTGAGCCAGAGTCCAGTGAAGCTAGGCTTCTACAGGGATCAGGTCAGTGTTGGTTATAAAAGTAAGCACCCTCGTGGGTCTAAGGTATGCTTTTGATATTCTGAATAGTGAGTTAAGCACTTTTGCTATCTTTGAGAGATAACTGACTTGATCGTCGGAGTGCCCCTGAGTGGACAAACCACCGTCAGAATCTCATCTTTCTGTTACAGGTCGTTCGGACTAAATCTATTCTGCCAAGTGCTCTCCAGCTAAGTACCTGTTTGATACTGTGATAAAAAAACAGCACATACAAAGAGAGATGGCAACCACAAACTCGTGACGATCCTACATTGGACCTAAAGAAAATTGACCTTTTGAGTACGAACCACTCGAGCACTCTCCCATTTCAAAAATATAATTCTATTCAAAAAGTTCGTATTAGTATAAAGCCAAAGGCAGTCAAATGAGTAAACTGTCACAAGAACTTCATTACCCAAAAACAAAAGAAAAATGATGCAGACTACTAATTAATGGTTGCACTAGGAATGTGGTAGTGGGTTCCACCCACTGCCACATGTGTTTTGTGTCTTAATTTTTGTTTTGTTTTTTTTTTTTTTTTTACTTGCCACATCATTAGTGGTGGTATTAGTGGTAGAAATTTAATGGTCTATAGCATTGTTGAAAACAAAAACTGTCACAAGAAAAAGTACTACCACCGAGTCAATGCCAATAGGATGGGGGTTGCATGTAGAGCAGAAAAAATATTAATTGGCCATAAAACGCCACATAATTATATCTTTATATCAATCATCATTCATCATATTTTTTTATATTTTTATTACTTAATACAAATTCATAAATTCTACTTTTTTTCATTAATTATAATACTATCAAAACACTGCATAATAGCGTACCCAAACCAACCAATAATTTCTCATGTAGAACGTGGTTGGTTAGTTTCATCAATCATGTGTCTAACATGGAAGGCCTAGTAGGCATCCAATATGTTTCTTGTGTGTAAGGTGTCTCATTGACAAAATTTCAATCACTCAGATGTAAGTGACAGGACAAGGAAACAACAATCAACTTGTTGATTTGAATTTTTAAAATTCACTTTTTATAAAGTTATTTTTTTTATTTTTGATATTTTTTATTTTTAATATTCTAAATAATTTCTGACCTCCAATCATTTTTTTTAACTATCCACAATCTCAATTTTTATGAATATATATGTATATATATATATATATATATTAAAATTAAATAAAAAAATTTTATATTCTTATGTATTTATTAATTTTTTAAAATATTTTATTTTTTGAATACATCTTAAATAAGATGCATATAAAAAAAATTACTTAACATTTTAAAAATATTTATTAAAAATAAAAAACATGAAAAACAAATAATTCAATTTACAAAAAATTGAAATCAAACAAACTGAATGATATTCATAGTTGCAATTTTTGTTTTTAAGGGACAGGTTTCTCTCCAATCCACTGTATGGACTGGAGCGTACTGTTGAGTTTATGAGGCCCACCACGGGTCTTGTTGCGATGATTCGAACCATTTTATGTGTACAACTCATCAAATACTTCATGTCTACAAAAAATCACGTTGATTAATAGCGATAACCTTTTGATCGGAACACATTTTTACATATTTTATTAACAAAACTGTGTTCCAATCAAAAGGCTACTAATATTCGATCAACGTGATTGTTTGCAAACATAAAATTCTCGACAAGCTCTATACATTGAACGGTTCAGATCATCGAAATGAGACCCGTAGTGGACCTCATGAGCCTAACAATACGTTCCAATATACACAATGAACTGGATAGAAGCCTTTCTTTTTTTTTAATGTATTTGGATTATAAATTTGGTGACAAAAACAACAAAAACAACCAAAAAAAAAAGATAAAAGATAAGGCTTATTTAAATCATTTGAAACACCTTCTTAGTTGATCTAAATAAGTATATTTTTTTGACTTTTTACGAAAAAAATATAAAATAAAAAAATAAAGAAGTAATGTGATTCAAAAAAGACATAATAAAAATCAAAAATAAAAATAAAAAATAAAAGGTGGCCCAATACTAAACACCAAAGAGCGCCTAATTTTTTTCTCCATTTATTTTTTTTTTTTTTTTTTCCCCCTTAAATCCTTGTTAAATTCATCATCTAAACACAACCTAAATGATAACATTAAGACAACAACGTAAATGATAACGTTAAGACAACGTAATGAGTCATCAACAAAGGAACATATATTAAAGCAGTTCGGATTTTGATTTTTTTTACACATTTTAAAGTATTTTTATATATTATTTATAAGTCCATCAAAATTAATGACAAAATTGGTAAATGACCTAAAATTTTACTTCTTTAAATGACCTAAATTCAGCCAAAGAAATTTAAAGCTTTGTAAAAGTGGGTTACGGGATTCAACCATTTTCATTCCAAGTCTGCAAAATTTTGAGAAGGTATCATATTTAGGACAGTTCTATTATATAGTATGTAAATTTCATATAAAAATTTGGTCGTGCAAATACTAAACACCATAAGACAGGACAGATGGCCCAATGATCCATGTAATTGTCCTTGGGATAGTGAAAAAGTTATAAGTTCAAAGTTCGAGTCGATGGAGCAATGTAACCCTTTTCTTGTAATCTAATTTACTAACTCCTTAACATCCTATCCGATGGTTAAAAATAAATAAATACTGAACACTGTGACTCGGATGTCAAAACCAGAGCACATCTGATATTGCCTAGAATATAACAGCAGAATCCTCAAACGATGTCTAAGCCCTCGGACATTATCTACACAATGCAAAATGGACTTCCCAAAAATCAAAGACAGTTTATACATTCTCATTCTGTGAGGTGTCAACAAATTTAGGAACAAACCGAAAGTCATGATCTTATTCAATCAATTAGTTATGATGCTCACAACAATTTCATACTGTTCCTGAAAGCAAATTATCAGTGCAATACATCCACAAAACCTGAAAATTCTCAGAGTCGACAACACAGTAGTTTTTATATATGTTTCGTTTACTATGCAAAACATTTATAAATCAATATTCCTTCTTACCAAAGTTCTTGCACCAGAGCTGCGAGGGTATGGGGCGAACTGGTTGATGTGGTCGTTGCTGCAAAAGATCAAAAGAAAATCTAGTTGGTACACAAAAGAAGTCTCAAACGTGCACATCATTCGTGGAATTGCTACAGCATTAAAATGCAGTGTCAAGAAATAATCTATTCATGGACATTGTGGCCTATAAGCATGATACATATATAAAATTATATATTTTGTGTCACCCTACGGGTCATGTCCTACATTTCTGAAAAACTTCCATGTCGACATGTCAGTCAGTGTCATGTCCATGTCATGTCACGTATCTGTATCCGTTACCTTTGCTTCTTATTACACATTTAATAGATTCTTGACATGCAGGTGGATGTCAGTTATAGGTAACCTACCATTCAATCACTAAGAAGAGAAATTTTACATAAATTAACTCCTCTTAACCTATGAAACACAGGTGCGGGTGCGGGTGCAGGTGCGGGTATGGGTACGGATACAATACAGGTACGCCGATATGCCAAAATCTAAAAAAAAATAGGGTTCAGGTACGGTTGGGGTACGCCAATATTTATTTATTTATTTTAATTTATAGCTAAACTTTTAACATGCAAATCAAAGTTCAATACCATAAACATACTACTACTAAAGTAAAAAACAAAAACTAAATCATTGGTCAACAATACCAATGTCAAAGTTAAAAGTCCACGAGCTATTTTAATGAAGCTAAACAAAAATAAAAGATAATAAACCATTTCTTGAGCTATTTTAATGAAGCTAAACAAAAATAAAAGATAATAAACCATTTCTTAGGTAGGAAACTTAAAACATCAACTTTCACTAACACAATAACACATCCTCCATTAACACAATAATTTGTCTTAGATTTGAAAATTTTTATTTTTTATTTTATATAATTATGATTGTCTACTACCACAATAAAGCAAAAAATGTTAAAACAAAAAGGCAAAAAAACAGATCACAAAAGAAGAATCATCGAAGGAGAAACGAAGAAAAAGTAGAATCAAAGAAAGGAGATCAGATACAATACGAGGAACAACAATCTGAAGGGGGGAAAAAAATCGACGAAGAAGAGAAAGAATCGAAGGAGAAGATGAGAAGAATCGAAAGAGATGACCTCACCGGAACATTCAAGCTCCATCGCCAACATGTGCCGTCGTCGTCAATCGAGAGTTGAGTCGTCAACACCTTTCTTCCAATGAGAGTCAAGATCGAGAACCACCATGACCATATGATGAAGAAAAGGAACAAATACAGAGATATTTGTAAACCTAATTTGTTTATCTTCTTTATTATTACAAAACACCCTAAATTATTAACTTTTTCAAAATGTACAAAAAATAATTGCTCCGGTGCCTTTGAAAAATTCTAAAAATTTTGTTTTTGCCCCGCCGTACCCAACACCGTACCCATGGAGTACCTACTGCATATCCATGGCGTACCCAACTTCTCCAAACCGTATAAAACATACCCAGTGCGTATTTGGCGTACCCGGTACGTGTGCAATTGTACTGGTACCCAATACTTATACGGCAATATTTTTGGAGTACCTGTGCTTCATAGCTCTTAACTAAATTATCTTAATCAGTAACCAATGGCAAAAGTTAGACGTAGCCAATTGGAATTCGGATGCTTGTCAGGCTCCTCAGGCCTCTTCTTACTGGCACAATGCCTGTCATGATCTTCAGGTTTCTGCTTGCTAGACTGCAAAGGCCCAAATGCTGCAAATTTTTCTACACATGATTTGCCCCACCGATATTTGATCTAAAGTTGCACATTATATGCTTCTCCTTAGCTCCGTTGAAGCAGTGTCCTTGAAGAGTATGAGAATGATACAGAGTATTTAAATAATTTTTAACCTAAACATGAAGGATGGGCTAAAGAAGAGAGTCATGAGTATGACTTGGAGAAAAGATGTGGTTTTTGTTATCAAATTTGATCAAGCCAATAAATGGAACATTAAGGTGAAATAGTTTGCTTGGTGCAGCTGTAAAAACTCTGGCAGCTTAAGCGTGGGAATGTGGGTTCAAGTCCAAGAGCAGCAATGTATTGCATATTTTGTAAAAAAAATTAGATCTATATCCAATTTGCCCTTCCCAACAATGTCAATAATTGGGGGCCTGCCACTAGGAATAGCCTTTATTTAGTCAGCTTCAACTAGAAAATGCACTACAAGGAAAAGAGGAAAGCCAAATAGAATGCGGGAAGCAGCAAGAACAATAAATGTCACAACAAAAGTTCTATTATTCTATATAATTACCTTCAGAATAAATCCAAAGGAGAAGAAGAAGAATCATGAAAGTCAGCAGCAAAGTAAGGATATCAAAAATTGATGAGATAAATGGCACGCACATGAAAATCAACTTGGCAAAATCTCATCCAATGTTTGGGGCTGTTACACATATCTATCCTCTCGCTGTTCTAACATTTCATATCTTCATTCTTGATCCGCAAAAGAAAGAAAAGAATTTGCTTTCTATCAAAACAAATAACTATGATCATCATATTACTTCGCGGAGCTTTTGGTAAAAAGTCAAAATCAAAAAATTTAGTACAATATCCTTCCTTAGGATTGATTTAATGCACTAATGAAAATAAGGGCAAATAATACCAAAAAAAGAAAATTGTATGAGAGAGAGAGAGAGAGAGAGCGGCAATAACCCCTCAAGCAATAACTAAACCCACAATCAAAGAAACTTAGAACACCCCATACCAGTAACACAATGCCAAGTAGCCATCCAACAATGAATCTAATTTTGATGAATAACATATTTAAAAATGAAGAGATTAAACTAAAAATTCATAAACGCTTAAGGTGGCACTGATTAAGGAGAAGATGATGGGAGGTCCTATTAGATGACATAGTGATCCAAAATGAAGACCAGTAAACGCATCAGTAAAGTACCAAGTGATTATGTCAAAGTTGAAGGCAAAAAAGACAAGAACGCAAAACAATGTAAGAAAATGGACTTGTGCAACTGATGATAATGGCCTACAATCTAAAGGAAGTTATGAACCTAGATAAATAATGGCACAGCAAATGCAACCTAACAATGGTGTCTGCTGAGTCCCACTGTCTGAATCCTGATAAGAGTATAATGCAAGATCATGAGCAGTGCAGGCAGCTCCACAGAGTGCAGATACACAGGATCAAAAGCACTCAGCATCTAACAGAATGCAATGTAATCAGCATGCACACACATTGATTGCACATGGCTGAGCCATAACAAACCATTCACACTTCTAGATAATGCTTCTCTCAGTTACTGTAACAATCTAGAATGTTCTTGAGATCTGCATAACAGAGAAACCCTGTAATTCATTTAGATTAGTGAATACAATTCAAGAGATGCGATAGGATCTACCCTGCCTGCCTTGCCGCTCACAAACTAATGCACTTGCAAGGTGCTTGGTGTAGAACTCGCATTCCTAATGAGTCAGTACGTGATATGCTACAACCGCCAATCCCTGACGCCCTCATCAGGGGGACATTACCTTACTTGCCTTCATGCTTGTCCATTCCCCTACCCATGGGAATCCGCCCCGTGCGGACACCACCTTTGGTGCGGATCCCACAATGAAGATGCTTGGTGTAAATCCCACGTACCGTCCCCATCACAGTGCCCTTAGGTTGGCTTTGATATCACTTGTCACCGACTGGCCGCTTGTCATCCTCCCGAGAAGCCGACTCCACGAGTGGTACTGCATACCCCGTGAATTTATGCCCAAGGACTAATCCAGGAGATGCGATAGGGATCTACCCTGCCTACCTTGCCACTCACAAACTAATGCGCTCGCGAGGTGCTTGGTTTAGAACTCGCATCCCTAATGAGCCGGTTCGTGACATCATGCTCATGGCCAACTCCACTTCCTCTTTTTCCTCTTCATCTATCACAATGGCTTCCCCTACTGCAACAAGCCTCTCTCCATCATCCCTTCCTCTCCTACATACAGAAACCCTTTGATCACTATAAAGTTAGATACATCTAGTTTCATTATCTGGTGAAGCCAAATTCAAAATGTCTTAAGAGCCACCAACCTACTGCTACAGTGACGGTTCATACCCATGTCCAATTCCAGTCATTACTCTTGAAGGGAAACAGGAAACAAATCTGGCAGATAGTAAATTGGTCACCATTGATGCCCATCTCCTAAGTTGCATCTCAGCTACACTTACTCCATGCATTCTCTCCATAGTAATTCACTCCAAACATGCAGCAGACATATGGAACTCCAATCTGGAGAAGAGATTTACTTCTGTTTCTTGATCACATATTCACAAAATGAAAACCAAACCACATCACATCACCAAAGGATATGCAACCATGGAATCCTATTTGAAAGAAATCAAGGACATAGCAGATCAACTAGCTATAGCCTCTTCAATGATTGAAGATGAAGATCTGGTATTATTGACTTTGAATGGTCTCTCACGAGTACAATTCATTCAAAACTACCATAAGAGCTCATCCTGAGCCAATCACAACGGAAGAGCTCTATTCCTTGCCTTGTGCTGGAAAAATACATATCAAAGCAAAAAATAGAGCGCACACAAATGGATACCCTACCCAATAGGAACCCATGGAGACCCGACCCAGAATACATAGGTTTCCCCCATTTCCTGCCCGTCGGGTCGGGTAGGTGGTATGATTTAAATATCCATTGGGGATGAGTACCCGCCCATTTCTCCACAACAGCATGGACCTCGAACTCTAATGCAATTGATTCATTCATTCATTGATGCTTTTGATCTTCTACAAGTAAAGGCATACATCTCTCTACGTGTCAACTTTAATTTCATGTGTGCATTTATTGTGATGATTCTCGGTGTTGTTGAATTTAGTTTGTTAATATTGGTAATTTCATTCGTTCGATGTTTTTGTATGTATATTTGTGATGTTTGTTAGTGTTGTTGAATGTAGTTTCTTATTTTTGATGTCCCATGTATGTAAATAGATAGATAGGTCGAGAGTAGCGTCTGTTGGAAGCAAAGAGATGGCCTTTATAAGAAGGTTCATGTGGATCTTGATTGGACGGTCGAGATGC